ACCTTGCCAAGAGAACAGACTTGGCTCACTGCTCGACCGCTTGGCTTAGTTTCCTTTTGCTGCCTTTAATTTCTTAAACTTGGCAGCGCCAGTCGCTGCTTTTGGCATTTGCAACTCATGTCCAAGCATAAATAAAACAAATGCGTTTATTTTTAACATACCTGCTTAAACTCACATATGTACAAGTACATACAGACGCAGTATGTGTGCGTGTGTGTGACTTTGTTTCTTTTTTTTAACTTTTTTGCACAGCCAGCGACATCAGTTTTGACCAAGTTGGGTCATCGTGCTTAACAACCGAGTTGATGAAGACATCTTCCCGTTTTTGCGGCCACAATTTTGCTCTCCGTTTTTTTTTTATTTTTTTCTTCAGCACTGCAAATGAAAACAATTTATGCGAATGGGTTCCAGTTGCCAGTTTTTGCGAAGGTTTCGTCGATTTGGTTTTACAAGCCTTGTATACATGACTGCGTTGGACTAGTTGAGGTATTTTAGTACCGTTTAAGGATTTAGTGATACGGGGAATTACCGTTCTTGCCTACCTGATGGTAGGTAGGAAAAAAAAACGAACATTCAAGCTAAAACTCCAGTGGGATTGCTCGCTTTGTTACTAAAAGACTTAAAAACGAATGTAAATTAATTACATTTACTTAAATATGCAAATGTTTACTCTGACCTACAAATATCCTACACACCAGACTCCACATAACAAATAATTAATTAATTCAAAGTATTATTAATATTATTAATTCGAGTATGCTTAATACTCGTACATACAAGTGGATGCATGTCGCAGACTTGGAACTCTTCATCTTCGTTCTGGCTTAGTTTATGTCTGCAAAATTGAGTTCATTGGAGAGTGAGAAAAAATACTTAAAACACACAATACTGGTCTTACTTTAGAATGCATATGGCATGCCAGCATTGGATCTGTCAGTCTTATGGCTGAATAAAAAAATTGACTGCTTGCTTCAGATGTACAGATGTTATTAAAAATACTACAGTCCTTTTTTTGAGCGGGAAACAAATACAGTTTTATTAAGGCTTATTTGTAATATTTGTTTCAAATATTCAAAGATACTATATAATCTTTGTTTCAAATATTCAAAGATACTATATAATCTTCTTACGATTTTAATAGTCAACTATTTACTTGAACATTTTTTTCGCATTTTTTATATTATTTACCGATGGTCCTGCCCAACAGATGTTGTTTTTGTTGCTTCCCTGTTTCTTCTGACTTCTTACCTTCATTTAACAAACAAGGAAACATTTCTAAAGATAATAATTATAATAGTTTTTGAATAAAATCGAAACGTTTGTCTAACGGTCCAGAAAATAAGTTATATTTGGATGATATAGTCCACCCAAATGAATTGAATTTCAGAACAAATATAAAAGATGTTGAACAAATGCTGAATTTCGTTAATCGGTCAAGTTCCTATTTGCGATTTCGGTCAAACCTGTTCCGGTAATTGTCACATCCTTCTCAGCTTCCAAATGTCTTGCGGGGTTTTTATAGGCCATCAATTATACATAAATTATACAAAAATAGTATGATATAATTGCTTTTAATCGACCTCACAATTATTCCTGCGACCTAAATATTGCCCCCGATCCAGAAATACCAGTGTTCCGCAATTTAGTTTTAGAAAACCCAAGATCGTAACCTTCTTGTAAAAGCTATAAATCGCTTTTGAGCTCTTGGTTTGGGAAACTAAAATCGTTTTTAAAATCTGGCTCAACATCTTCCTTACAACAACAAGGCTGCCTACTTATTTTGCACCACGGAGCAAGTAATATCGAACTTGATTGAGTTAATATAATTTATATTAAAGCCAATTTAGCACGTCCTCCCACCAGGAGCAGTACCAGGAATCGCCCTCGACCCAAATGACAAAAGCACTGCATTGAAAGTTTATTGTGCGCCGGAAAATAAAAATTTAACACGCTATAAATCACAATTTTCACATAAAGTGAAAAGAAAAAACTGAAAAAGGAAAGCGGGAGGGGTGACATCAACAGATTTTCCGCCAGAGCTCGTAATTGTTGCACCGGCCGCCCCGTATTGCCTGGAAAGTTGCCACCAACCCCTTGGCAATGTCCTTGCGACGCCTTGGTATGCAACTTGTGTCGACTTATCTGCGCGCCAACATGCGTCATAGGGTTGGCAGATATCCCACATTCGAACTCGCCCTCACTCCTCCCTCCACCCTCCTGCCCCCCACCATCGCGTCCGTGTTCCTGTATCCAAGCAATGACGTGGCAAGTCGCCTCGCCTGCTGCTTGTCTGACAGGTTCAAGGCCTTGGCTTGTTTTTTAATGCGCTACAAGTTCACAGCTCTTGTTGTTATTGTTGCTTTTGTTGTTGCTGGGATTGTTGTTGTTGTTGCTGCCCTAACACTTGCCGCGTCTGCGTGTGAAATTTAAAACCGTGATAGCACCTTGCTTTCCACACGCCCATTGGCAAACACGTGCCCGTCTACTCTCAACTGTTTTCACTTCAAATTCGCGCCTTCGCCTGCGACCGCTTTGGCATTTTGTTGACAAAATTGATTTGTTCAATTTTTCCAACGATTTAACTTACGGCATGACTTGAGCCGGCGCGGCTCCCTCCCCTCAACCCCTCACGACCTCTTCATGGTGCGTTGCCAGGCTATTAGTGCCGGTACATTTGTTTCGAAGACTGGGCTTCCCAAACTCGCTTCCTAGCTGTCTGGTCCTTGTCCTTGTGCTCGTCCTGTCGGCATTCTTGCACGTTTGAGGTACGAAAAAACCAACTTTGTTGCCGCTGCGGAATTTAATCAATTTTCGATATTTTATTGATTCGCGTTAAAAGCAAATTTAATTTTAAATTGTTCCTCACCTGAAACTTTTTACATCATGAAGCTGTAAAGCCCTGCTAATCAGAGCTTCTTCAGCATCAAATTAAAGCTGTTCTAATTTGTTAACTAACATTATAATTTAAATAATCATTCGAAGATTTAGTTCTGAAAATTATCTTGGAGCTTTGAATAATTTCCATCAATAAATTAAAGAGTTAATTGTGTATTAAATCTGCTGTAAAGCCCGGCTAATCAGAACTCCTTCAGAATCAAATTAAAGCTGTAAGTGGCAGTTTAACAGAAGTATTTTAGAAGTGTCCTAATTTGTTGAGTAAAAGTATAATTTCAAAATTGTCTGTATTGGAGATTTGAATATTGAATATTTTCTATTAATAAATTAAAGAGTTAATTGTGTATTAAGTCTGCTGTAAAGCCCTGCTAATCAGAGCTTCTTCAGAACCAAATTTAAAATGTAAGTGGCATCTTAACAGAAGTGTTTTAATTTATTGAGTAAAAGTATAATTTAAATAATCATTCCAAGATTTACGTCTCACAATTGTCTGTATTGGAGCCTTGAATATTTTCTATTTCTATTAATTGTGTATTAAATCTGCAAATAAATTAATTGAAACTAAATCGAAATACGAAACAAAGTCCAATTGTCTTCAATATTAAATATTATAAAAAACTAAACTTTAGGAATAGCTCCGATAAAAAGCATATAGAAAGTGTATATGCATACATTTAATTCATAATCTTTCTCAAACTGCATTAAATATGATTTATGTGCATATATATAATGCATACAAAAATGCAAAAATACGAAATTTAACTGAAAAAATAAAATGATGTTAGCTGCCTTTTTTGGATAACTGCGATAGGAAAAAGTATTCAAGGCAAGGCTAATGGAGAAAATCAGATCAAGCTCACAAATTGTTCTCTTCAAAATCATAACTCTAGTTATCAGAAGAGAATATTAAATAGAAACATAAAATGGATCAGCTCCATTGATTTTATTTTTAGAATTTCTAAACTAACTGCATATTTCACCACGAAAGTCTTACTGAGAATTTTCCGTTTGTTTCTATTTCTTTGCAGGCCGAAGTGAGTATTGAAGTAAACGGATAGTGCGCCGCCTATGATGGATGAGTGCCTAAATTACAAAATATTCGACATATTTGGGCTGTCCTCGCATGCTTGAGTCGACCAAGAACTTGCGGTCACTTTAAACTGTCCCAGATGGATGTGGGGACGGGGAGGGGGTGGAGTCCTAAGTCGTTGGTCGCGCCGTCGCGCGCTTCTAACCAAAAATGCCCATTAGTAAAACCAATAATTGCTTCATTTCTGCTCAACTACTTTCAAATATGCAAACAAACGCAAGTTTCGAACTTTACGAAAACCCTTTTTACGACTGCATGCCCATGTTTGTATAGAATTTTATTGCCAAAAACTTTTACCAACTGCCAAGAGTGTGGACAACCCACATCAACAGCCAAAAGGATAAAGGGGAGGGCTGAGGCAAGGGCTATGGCTAAGGGGGACGGAGCGCCCTGATTCTCTGCGCTTGTCTACTTGAACGCTGTTAATTAAATCCAAGACAACTTGCTTCAACTCAAGACATGCTTTTGGGTGGTGGTAGAGTGGTGCTGGAGTGGTGCTGGTGGTGGGGGGTGGTTGTCCCTGTCTGCACGGGGGGCGGTGTTGGTGGTACGTTCGGTCTTCGACTTGAAAATTAGCCACAGTCGAAAGTCATTGTGTTGATTACTTTTGAAAATGACGCGCGCAAATTTTGCGCAACTTTAATTGTTTTGGCTTGGCTGGTGGCTGATGGCAGATAGAAGGGAAAGGAAAGCAAGGGAGGGGAGGGGGGTGCAAGGGACGGGAAGGAGGACCAGTGGATCGGTGTAGGGTGGGCGACGCATTTAAATTTGAATTAATTGCACGCACATTTGTTTCTGGACCCAAAAACCTATATGAGGCACAAAATTTATGTGCACGATGAGTTGGCAGCGTCAGAGACAGGAGTACGAGTATGGTAGTAGATGGTCCAGTCATGTTGACGCCATTAACGTGCGATGCACTACTCTGGAATTTTTATGAGGGCCCCTCCTTTCTGGCACTGTTCCTCAACACTCTATGCTGAATGGCTGTAACTCTCTTTCTCCCTCTGTGCAGGTCCGCGGACGCGCAAGCCCAAGAAGCCGTCAATGACCGCTGCGGGCGGTGGGGAGAAGGCTGAGGCAGAGAGCGCTACGGCGGAGGACAAAAGACCGCGCACGGCCTTCAGTGGCACGCAATTGGCGCGACTAAAGGTGAGTTATTATAGACGGACAAGGGAGAGCAAGTCGGCATTAATTACAGTCGAATAGAATCCAATTCCAAAATATTGCCTTCCTTTCTCCATTTTGCAGCACGAGTTCAATGAGAATCGCTATTTGACTGAGAAGCGGCGTCAGCAGCTGAGCGGCGAGCTGGGCCTGAACGAGGCGCAGATCAAGATTTGGTTTCAGAACAAGCGGGCCAAGCTGAAAAAGTCGAGCGGTACCAAAAACCCCCTCGCACTCCAGCTGATGGCCCAAGGACTGTACAACCACTCGACGGTGCCACTGACGCGCGAGGAGGAGGAGCTGCAGGAGTTGCAAGAACGTGAGCTCGAGGCAGCCACAGCCGCCTCCACAGAATCTCAGGCAACGGCCTAGAGCGACACCCCCCTCAACCGGAAGCAATATTTATTGATATTTATGGCGTAGCGTGTAAGTTCTGGTTAACTCTAGTTACTAAAGTTAAAGATAATCAATTAAGTTGTACCATGTTCTAGTCCTCTGCGCACGCGCGGCCCACCTGCCTGCCCCGCTGGGGCAACTGGCGAGGTGTGTGTGCGTGTGTGCATGTTTTTGTATAATAAATTCATAAATTCACAAGTAAATAATTTAATAAAAATTTAAATCGTATGCGCCTCGTCTATTATTGATTATGGTATTTACATAAAGGTGCCTTCGACCCAGCCGGAGTCGTGCATTTGTTTTGTTTTGTGTCTCTTTGTTCTTGTTTGCCATTGACGTGAAATATGAAGCATTTATAATTAGAATCCGAGTAGGAGGTCCAACGGCGTGTTGTTGCCCCAGCCTTGTTATCGGTTTCGCCCAATTTGACGGCACATTATGGCCCAGCAACCAGGCAACCAGGCAACCAGACAACCAGCTTTTGAGCTCCCTCCCTAGCAAATGTTGTCATCAATGGCGGCGCATTTAATAGTCCGTGGGCGTCGGAATTAATTACTCAATTAACGAGTTTGATTACGTATGTGCGAGCATAGACGAATATGTATGCGAGTATGTATATAAGGTAGTGATTCATCAAGATAAAGACGCTGAGCGATTGCTACGGCAATTGCTCAATTTACAATCAAATCAAATTAAATCATTTATGCAAATTCAACTTAAAAGCTATCTTTGCGCATAATCACGCCTAATGGATGCCCGAACTGAACGTTTCTCTAATTTAGCCATTAAATTTGCATACACCAGCCAGCCATCCAGCCAACCAGCCAACCAGCCAGCCAGCCATCCAACCAGAGACGAGGCCTGTTACACTCGTAAACCTTCGAAATCAAATGAAACGCACCACAGCGAAACCTTAAAACGCAAACAAAATTCAAAACAAAATAACTACAAACATACATATAGTATACTCGTAGTAGTGTATAAGTTTGCTTGTGTGACCACAAATGCCAGCGGCACAAATTGACACCTTGGCGTGCGTTTTGGGCCTCTGTGGAGTGCAAGGCAAACGCACCAGAAGAGCGACGGACTGGGGGACTGGGTGACTGGGGGACTGAGGAGCTGAGGGAGACTGGTGTGGGTGTTAAATGTGTCTGTCATCCGATGACTGTGATTCAAGCAAAGTCTGAGCTTGGCTGCGACGAGCGACAACTCCAAAGTGGGGATACCTTCGTAGCGACAGACCGATGCAGATTTAAATGTGGCTCTGAAGTGCGAACTCTCGAGCAACGAGTTGCTCAAAAGTTTCAAAGCAAAGTGCCAAAATCTTCAAGGCAATAGGTTGGAGTGGTGGTACTGAGCCTTTGCAATACATCGCCGATCACTTCATTTAAACTTTAAGCCTCCTTGTTTCATCCAAATCTCAAAACACAATCTGACATTTATTCAAGCAAAGAGTGAAAGGCGTTCGGCTGTTCAACATACATGTTAACAATTAATTAATAGTGAGTTATAATAACAAATGTAGTTTCCAAAAACTTCAAACCTATTACATTTGCAAAAATAATAATTAAACCGTACACTACAGAAAACTCCGAAATTTGAAATCATAAACAAGACTTATCATAGAAGAGTTTTTGGCATAATTTGTATTTATTGTTACGTACGAGTAATATTAAACCATGTACCCAAAGGGTAAAAGGGTATAGGAGTTTCGTGCGAATGTATTCAACACACAAAATATATAGTACATATTCTTGATTAATACTACAAGACAAAAGGATCTCAGGATATACATAAAGAGCTACGTAGGTTAACCCAAAATATATAAACTTTGTGTTTCCCCGATACTCCCTTCCCCCACTCTGCCGCTTTTAATTATTCAATAGTTATTGAAATTTACTACCCAAATTTTTCAATTACATCCGGTTAGTGCTTATATATCCCTATGTCAGGTTTCATCTGCTGATGTTGTTGTTGCTGCTTTAGCTCAACTCTGTACTTAACTTTCTATTGTGGCTGTTAATAGAGGCTATTTAAGACCCGCTCGAGTGTCACATTCCTTTCTAATTTCTATAAGGATTGTGATAAACTTTATCTGCGTATGGAGAAGATAAGTGATCTAGTCCTGGATCCCCGCCAGCTGCGGACAGACAGACATGTGCATGTTGTTGTGATATGTAAATAGATTTCCTACTTAGTACTTAGTATACCGTTTCACGCTGAATGAAGTGTGAATTGATTTTAAGCAAATGGGTTGTGACAATTGGATATTAAATTCGACGCTAAAGGTATGGTATACGGGTATTTTAACTAACGAACTAATTATTTCATATTTCCTCACACTTTTGGGAACTATTCAGAGAACTAAAGTCCCACCTTAATAACATCGAATTAATAACATACGATTGTATATTTCAGCTAGTAAATTGAAAATACTAAGCAAGGTGTGCTAGAATTCCAGTAGATATTAGACTGCCACTGGTTATTAGTATTAATATTTTCTTCAGTTTTAAAGAGAAGAGTTTATGAGCGAAAGATATATCTAATATAGCCTCACTTGAGAATGACAATTACATTCTTTTAACTGGCTAGAAAAGCCTTCGGCAAAAAAAGTGGACAACAATGTCTCAATAGCGATCGGAGTGTGAAATTTGGCTTCCAAGTCGGGCTTCGTTGTTGGCGACATTTTTGGAACTCTTGGCTCAGATTCGTGCATAGTGTGTGGATAAATAACTTTGTGCATTTTATATCCATTCCACCCCGAAGATGATGCAGGCGTGTGGGCGTGGGCGTGGTCGTTGGCGATGTTAGCGAGCTTGTTGTCTGATTTGAGTTTTTGCATGCCCCTTAAGTGACTTTTTATGGCACGCGTGTCTTGTGGGATGACTTCATAAAAAGTCAATTTAAGTTTAGTAATATTTTGTTGAATTTATAGTTGAGTATTTTGTTTAAGCATAATTTTTTATTGCCGCTGGCAGGCTAAGTCCAGGCGGCTCATGCGTCATGAGTCATGAGGCGCTGTTCTCCCGACCGGACGGGCAAATGGTGCGAGTATATTACGTTATAAATTCAATAAATGTGACCATAAAAAGCCCATTCAAATACCTTGCGCGCGTACATTAATCCCGCCGGTTAGTTCTCGTTGCGCTGGACCAGTCATTACAACGCCTCGAGAGCTGCCCCATCTGTGGATGTGTGGATGTGGCTGCCACAAAATGCCCCCAATGATTAATGTTCGGCAGCCTTGGCCGGCGCACAGTTCGCAGCCTTGGCTGAGCCGCCGCCTTCCCGGAATGCGCTCGGCTCGGCACGGCCCGGCACAGCCCGGCCCCAGTCGCAAGTCGAGCCCGAGTAACCCGAAAAAGACAATACGCATAAATCTATGGGGTTGACACTTAGTACCAACAACAAAAACGCGCCGGTCTCTAGACTCTGACTCTGTCTCTGACACTGACACTGGCCGGGTCTCGAACTCTCATTCACATTCGCAGCTACAGCCATGGGCTTCAAATGGATTTGTTTACACCACTCACACGCACTCACACACACACTCATTCACACTCATCCGCACTCACTTGCCGCTCTCGGCTCGTCTGCAAGATGAGTTGTGGAGCGCGAGGCGTCATAAAATTGGCAACAAATTGTTTTTCACGCCGTTTTAAATACACATTTCGATACTTGGCCATAATGAGGGACGACCGTGCCAACGCGCGAGTTCGCGGCTAAGTTCGGAATCGCGTCCGCGTTCGCTTTGAGCTTGCGGTCGGGTCTGTAGTTGCAGACAAAAACCGCCAACGACATTATCCGACTTGACGAACTGCAGCAACCGTTCTCGTCCCGTTCCCCCCTTACTTGTACGCTCCGACGCTGTTGTAACACGCTAATAAATTTGCGGCTAAAGAGATAAGCTTATAAATTTTAACTGTAATTATGCGACACAAGATTTATGATGAGTCCGAGTCCCATTCTCACTCCCAGTACCAGTCCCCAGTCCTCAGTCCCCAGACTCCGTCCAACTCTGCGTTTCTGCCCGCGTGCATTTCAGGTTATTAATGAAACACAAACTTACGTCGAAATTCGTTCAAGTGCCGGCAAAAATAAAGCATGAGACACTCCTCTCTTCGGGACGGGGAGACTGACATTCCTTCTCGACCGATTGGTGCCGAAACTAGTGCTGGGTTCTCTTTCGTCTAGCTCTTGCTCCTAATGAGTCTTAAACGCATGCAAATTATCTGCCCCACACGATTGATCAATTGATATGCGTATGTGGGTGTGGCCCCTCTCAAGTGTACATATATATATGTGTGTGTGGCTGCATCTGTACTTTAGGCCGGACCACCCACGCAGCGCCAATCGCACGCCGAGATCTGAGGACTTGACATTGCGTCGCTCATTACGCCTGCGCCTACATGAAGACGTGAGTGGGGATTGTATTGGAAGGAGGAAGGAGGAGTGCAGCAATAATGGCACTTCAGAGGACATGCAACAGCATAGTGCGAAAGGAGACTGATAGAGAGAGATAGAGAACTCGGCTACAGATTAAGGGTTGCGGGAGGTGGAAAACAGGCAGAAGGAAGCGTAGCAGACCCCACAAAGTATATATATTCTAGATCAGTCGAGATCCGTCCGTCCGTATGAACACCTGGATCCAAGGGCGTAATCAGCTTTTACTAAAGGGGGAGGCCAAAAAATTAAAATGTTGATTAAATAATGCACGATGCATTTAAAAAACAAGTAAAAAAGCTAAAGTCGGGTGTCCCGACTTAGAAATACTCTGTACATATGTTTACAATAATTATAGAAAATAAAAAAATGTGGAAAATAAAAAAAAAATTTTATATATTTTACCTCTTTTGGTATTCGAACTCACGTAAAGGATATATAATTGCACATTTACATAGCAATTGCGTCTGTGTGAGTGTATGTATGCCTATGCGCATCTATTCGTGTCTGTGTAAACATATGTGCCTTCTTCTGCCTGTTACATTTTTCAGCTCGCGCAAACCTAATATACTCTTGTACATTTCATGCACAGAGTATAATAACTTATGCATATGATCAATGGAAAAACTTCAACAAATTCAATTCAGATCCATTTAAGGCGAAATAATGCGTCATAATAATGAACGTGTGGTCGACTT